CTCTTTCGCTCGCACGCTCTTTCGCTCGCACGCTCTTTCGCTCGCACGCTCTTTCGCTCGCACGCTCTAGCGCTCGCACGCTCTTTCGCTCGCTCACTCACTCTCTCACGCGTTCACTCACCTCTTCAATCACTCACCCCCTCATTCACTCTGCCACTCATTCACTCACACTCACCCCCTCGTCCATGCTCAGTCGTTCTCGCTTACTTTAACTCCCGACCATTCATTATCTCTCAATCTCAGTCACTCTCTCTCACACCTTTATTGTTATTGTTATCATCGTTGTGTTTGGTGCAATTGGCTCTGAACCATCAGGTATTTGAAATACAAATTAAATATCTGAAATTTCTCCATCACAATTTCCAAGAAGATTTCATTACCACTATCTTCCTCATCATAACGCAGCGCCCCCTAATACATGGGCTCTATCCCGCTCCACGTGACGACACCGGTGAGAAGGAATCTTCTTTCCGCACCGCAAAGACGCAGAGATGGCGGTCGGTGGGGGGGGGGGGTCACTTTCCGTTGCGTCACGCATGTGGCCGTCGCGCGCGGAAGCGGATTCTACACGCGCAAGTGGAGGCGCCGCCTTCGTCACGCGTGATCACTCGCGGGGCCATCGTCGCCGTTTTCCAGTTATGTCACGACGATCCCACGACGAGAACACAAGAAAACACCGTTCTTTGTTTTGCTTGCGTATATATTGCATGACAAAATTGACTACCTTCTAGAATGTTTCATCGTATCTTTACGACGTTACGGCGTCACGTAGGGAGAACTGCTACTTTGCTTTCCTGGACAATTATGAATAAACGTGCTGACATAGCTCAGAGCCATCATTACCGTTGTCACTCCAGCGTTTCTGAGAGGGGTCCTTTTACTTTCCCGTCTTTGATGTAACTTTTTCCATGGATAGTGAAAAGGACGATTAAGAGTGACGGAGATCTCATTGTCTTTGCGGTCTCGGAATCAATTTTCGGAAATTGCAAATGTTACAAATTATCAAAATTAACAGAAGTATCAGCTGTTGTAGCACAACACGTTGATAAAGTGGTATATCATTTTTGATTAGCGTTAATACACCATCTGCAGCTATATTATTTGATCGATTATTACAGTAGTACTGACTCGGATATTGTATTTGGAATTAATAAAGAACTCTCTCAAGCTCTACTTGTTGCTAAGACCTAGGGTTACCAACACTGTTCATGTAAAAGGGAGAACACTAGATAAACAAAAAAAACATCAACACATTTCTTTTTATAAATATTTAATTTAGACAAACATCAGCTATTCCTTTCTTCTCTGCATTAGCGAATCAAGTGTAGTACCCAGACCTTTAGATTGCAAAGAAAATTATTCGAACATTGAAAAAATGCCACCCACGTGATACCTGCAAGCCTCTCTTCATTCAGATTGAAATATTACCATTGGCATGCCTATTTATTTACGAATCTATATTTTTTGTCAAAACTGACGTACTTAACGGTGGGAACATATTTTCATACTGATATTTATAATAACAACACAAGTCGTAGTAATCTCCTTCATCAAGTGTTAGTATCAACGGCTCACTAGAGGAAATGCACTTACAATACATGTACGTTACTTAACAACGCATTGCTAGATGACATCAAACAATTAAAGTCGACACACAAATTTAAGATAAATGTAAAATCGTTTCTGCTGTAAAAATGATTTTTATACAATTAAATACTATACTGACCATCAAAAATATAAATAATTATTCTAGCAAACAATGATATAAAATACATTAATTTACAGTTGTATTGTATAATTAAAAAATAATTAATGTGCCTGTAACAAGTCATGTACTTCAGCTTCCGGGTCAATGACCTCCATCTCGATCAGGTTTATGTCTAGTTTCCCTGATCCCTTGAGCAAATGCTGACAGGGCCCCTAGTTTTGCTCTGGACATAAATGTAGCATCACTATGCACACGTTTTGTTGAACTCTCCTGTTGCTTGTAGTGGTGGAAGCGGTAGGAGAAGAGCTGGGGTGAGTGATTTTGTTGGCAATACAGAGGACTCAAGTCTGGAGTACGTTTGCCGATGCAAATACCTTTCCTATAACTACGGAACGAAAACGTCTAGTTTCTACAAATGTTGCTAATCTCGCGCTTTTTAAAATTTTTGTATTATTATTATTACTATTATATTTACTTCTTTACCTTTTTATTCATCATTAAACTATTTATAATTCAAATGTTGGGATGGGGTTCTGGAACTCAAGAAAACGTGACCAGTTGATTTTCTCCCCCATACGCCACATAAAGTTTTTACTGCTTTTTGACTAAATAAATAAAGTGAAAAGACCCTTTCACAATATACAGAGGAAGATGGTCTGAGTCTTTTTTTTATTTTAGTTGCTAGACAGAGACCTCATCATGCGTACGGGTGTCAGCGTTCAGAAAAAAGATATTCATGCTTTCTATCCTAAAGTACACAAATGATTCAACGTAGCAAATGTTAATCATGTGGCAAAATAAATGAGAACAAATGTTAAAAATTTACTACAAGGAGGACATTTGAGATACAAAGGAGGACGAGAGAACAATTGATATAAATTGAGAACAGTTCTCCCAAATGGAGGGCGATTGGCAACTCTTAGTAAGACACCATTTCAGTTCCAATTGAGAAAAGAAAAGATTTAGGACGTGAAACTCACTTTTAATGATGTTATAAAAGAATTTAAAGCTTTCTATGAACATTGATAAATTGGTTGGATGAATTTTTGTTAGATGATTGTTCTTGGTGGTGAGGCGTAAATAAAACTTTACTTCATGTTTTTGTGTAATAATGAAGAGTTAAGTTGTGATGATAGGATTGGGCTTGTTTGAGAAGTCTGTGTCATCCTTGAGGGGATTCTCACTTTTCTAGTGGAATATTATTTATTATAATAATCATTGGTTCTCGTTGAAGTGTCCGCCCTGTGATTATGAGGTTTGTAAGAAGATTTACAGTTCGCACAATACTGTGCTTTTCATTCAGCAGTTCTACGATTTAAAGCACAGATGAAGTTTTTCCGGCAATTGCCTTTCCTATGAGGAAAGTCTTCGAACCTTGAACAGTGTGTCGGTCCCTTACTGTTTTACCCCGTTTAAAATATTACAACAGAGTTGCAAAAGTATATTTCTTTTCAGGTTTTAGTGATATTTCCTAGATTTGAATTTTCACTGCTCCAGCAGGAATTGAATTTCTTTCCATGCCATGAAGCCGTGTGACGCGCACTACCAATGCAAATTTCTCGATAAATCCTAATTTAATTCCGTCTCCAGATATGGACACATGTAAGTTCATGATCACAAGTGATTTTATAGAGAGTCTGAACCCGTATTAGATGCTTCCAATGTAACTATCAAACTTTTAAAAGTATATATGTTTTCTAAATTCACTTTTATTTTGCTGTCATGGTCTATTCGATATACAATTTTCAGGTGCAACTTCCATAATTTCAGAAATATATTGTGGACGATTGTAATGCGATAGACGTAGATAGTGGAATTTTTACAGATTTGGAACGTGAGGTTCGGATTCTTCATGGTTGGACAAATATAGTGCTAGTACTTTCAGCATATCTATAGGGCTCACTGAACTATTTTGTTGTGGTACCACGCTCTTCTTCACTGACTGGCTTTTGTTTGTGGTTTCCGTTGTCAGAGCAGAGTTGAGCGTTGTTTGGAGTTTGTGCGTCTTGTATTGTGTCATCGAGGCTACAGTTTAGCTGAATGGCCTTGCCTATAATTTCTGAGGGTGAGCGGTCGTTCTCCGCAACTGTGTTGGAAGAAAAACAATTATTGTTCACCACTAAACTTGGTGCGATAAAACATGAAACAGTTATAGTACCAGTTTCACATACGCACATATATATATATATATATATATATATATATATATATATATATATATATATATATATATATGCTAGACGAATAGTATTCGTATGCCGTGCCCAGACTATGCCAGAAGTCCTAGGCTTCGAGTCTCGACTGTAGCGAATTTTCGATACTAGCTAGACAGGTATGACGAATTCAACCACTACCTGCGATAGAATTCTAGCGGCCAGATGTTCTGAGTTGGTTTTCCATAGTTTCTCCTATCAATGCCAGGCAAATGCCGATGCAGACACTCACAAATGGGTCACGGACCGCGTGCGGTCTTCCTTTCTTCCATATCTTATCCTTTTCCCCCTTACTCACACACTCCAACTTTCACGCGCTGGACTACATACGGCGGGCGATCAGTTAGGAGCTTAGATCATGCCCCGTCTCGTGCGGTGTCCCTCTGGAGTATATACTTGGAGGGGGAAATATCCCGTAAGCCGACGAGTAGATCGCTAACCACCCAGTCGTCACATCCCGGAATAAAGCATACACCAGGACTAGTTATACTAAGGGGACTAATTATCAAAGCAGTTGACGGCCCGGAAAAACACAATCAATGAATTACACAATCAATGAATTACGAATAATGACAAATGATATACATGTATACGCGATTGTTTATTTTGCCTACCGAGCCGCAATCAAAAGAAAACAAACGTCCGGTTTACGAGCGCACTACAGTCAAGCTGCTATCGCAGCAGCTGCCTGCGCTATTCTGGTAAGATAATAAAAAATGAATAAAACTCGAGGAGAAGAGCCGAGAGAAAAGCTACATTTTTTGTGAGAGTAAAGGATCATTTAATACATTGTTCATTCTATCATGACAACGGGTCAAATAACCCGGTGGTTATAGGAAAATATAATTATTTTTGTACAGTATTTCTTTCTTTGGGTTCGTGCCTAGATCTTGGTCAGCATGCTTGCTTTCCACTACGCGGCCCCGGATTCGATTCCCGGTCGAGCCAAGACTATAGTGTGTGTTTTCCTTGCAATGTCCCAGTGTATGGTGCTGTGTGATGATGAGAAAATTCACTTGTCAGATTGAGCAGACCTATTTATGGCGTGGGGATGGCCACTTGCTAACCACACGTATTCGCTTAACCCAGGGCCGCGAGGCAGGGACGTCGCCGATAGGCCTGAGCCCGTCACAGGCTGTCGCGCCAAGTACATACTTTTCTTTATTGTATTTGCTTAATTGAATTGAAGTGGGAGATAAAAACAAGGAAACTACTTTGAAGTTCGTGTACTACAGTAAATTGTTTATGTAACAATAATGCAAAAGTTCGAGCGCGGGGCGTCCTGAATTCCAGAAAATTTTCAGATATGTATATAAAGTCATTATTAAGTCCTCGAAAGATATTCTTGAAAACGTTTAACATTGCCAGCACCACAGAATCTCATTTTGTGTCCAAACTTCATTTTCTAGAAATCTATTACTTCTTTATTACTCCAATAAAGCTGTCTTCCAAACCACGAAGATAAGTTTTATTCCGAACAATTCGATAGTTTAATTTGACCAATTCATCGATTGTTACTGTATTCTCTTCACTTCAAAATGAGCTATGGGTTCGTAACCAGATGGTGACCCCTCTCCCCCTAAAAAATGAGAATACAATAGATTTTAGTATCCTCAATATCGCGAACCCTTTGAAAAGGTATTTCAGATTTTATGACGCCTTTGATTAAAGCGACCCCTCATAGAGTCCATTAAACTCCAACACCTTGCGTCGCACTTGAAGGCAAGGACTTCAAATGTGGTTGCCTCCGCGAGCACAATGTATTCAGCCACGGGCTAACGTGGATTCTTGCAAATACGCCGAGTGTTAGAGTTCTTTCGGCGTCCCTCTCACTTGCTACGAGAGACATGCGGCCTCTTCCGCTCTATCACCAAGCTCCGATGGAGATCCGTTTGCTGCTGTCCCGCCGGGTACCATCTTCGCCGTCTCCGACACCGATCCCGCCTCATCTTCCCTGGCCAGCGCCACCGCCGCCACCGCCTCCGTCACCAGAAAGCTCCCAATGAATGGTCCTAGATTAGTTTCAACTTCAGCTCTGCGCCTCGTATCCACTTCGGACGTCAATTACACAAGTAAGAACAACTGCTATATACCAAACTCATTATCCGTATTAATAAAATCAACATTTTCAGATATTTAAAACTTCTTTATGTTCCCTAACGTCAAAATGGATGATACACGCGAATTATTTGTATTAGTAGCCCCGTTTAAATAGACGCACTAACAGTAATGAAAACGGCGACACTTAAGATAACAATAGCGTAGCAACTATTGAGGAGTCAGTCATGGCAATAAAATCGGTAACATGAATGTTAATAGCGAGTAGTTTAAAGCACACTGGGAATGTAAGAAGTGATGGTATGCAAGTAACTTTAGTAAAACCATCAACAAAAAGGTATTTAAAAAGAGAGGCTTTAACGACTAAGTTCACGGTTACGTCAAAGCTACAGCAATGTCGATTAAGATAACATTATGTTTGTTCAACGGTCACCCCACTTCAGTTATTACATTAAGCATGCAGAGATACCCAAGTCACACCTCTGGTCTATTCGAACACCATGGTTATGACTTCCCTAACGCCAAAGATCAAGCCAAATATTAAAATACTTTCAACTGCTTTAATGATCAAGAAAATACCAACGCCGAAGGTCAAGTACATGAAACTATAGACAGTGAAATCTGTTAGAATGCAAACGCCCTTCGCCTTAGGCATTGCCCTTGAAAATGCGAACAGTCATGAATGCAAGACTTTTCAATGCTTCGCACAAGTGACCTGCCATACCAACAACTGCTTGTCAGCTCACTGGTCATAAATGTGATGCTCACTCTGACAACTTACAGTGTAAGCTAAAGCAAAGAAGACTACCGAAAACAAAGGACGTCAAAGTTAGCAGTTAAGTTAATAAAATATATTTAAATTGGAATGGTTACAACCACATCTTCGGCGTTAACAATTTATTCAGCAATAATGAATAAAACGACATTTCAATAATATATTACCTTAAGAACATCGAGAGTCACCATTATTGCCTTGGGATATAAGTGGTAACTCTAGTTAATTCAGCATATTTTATTATCATATATGCGTAATATTGTCTATTTCCAAGAAAGTGATAATTAAAAACACTTCTCAAATGTACTGTAAATCTGGTGCAATAAATTTCTTCCAAAAAATTGTGACTGCATTTCCAAGCATTATTTGTGATCACAGAGCATATTAAGTACTAATAGAGCACGAAGTTTGAAGTTAAAACTCTTGGGTAAAAAGTGAACATTATATACAAAAGGTTCGGGTACTAATATGATACTCAAAACGGGAAACGCTTTTGATATAAGCAAGTGAACATTTTGATTTAAAGGTTTTAAGTAGGTTAAATAAAAAGGATTATGCCAACAGGCTAATTACCAGCCATAAATTGATATATCTGAGTCAGAATCACCTTTACGTCAGAGCCACTTATTCACTGCGTTTTGAAAGAAAATACTGTTGGTATGTCCAGAGGAATAATTAACGCTTGCTAGATTAAAATTCAACCTTAGTGCTTATTAGATTTATTGTATATTTTCTTCCCTCTTCTTACTACTTAAGTAGTTCAGAGAAAGTATGGCAATCGTGCGGTGAAATCGGCGATATTTTCAATAGTAAAACTTATTATCGGGCTCAGGAGAAGACAAAAATTTATAAATCTTGTTCCCATCCGTCGTAAAAAACGTCCTCAAAAACACTGCGTAGTCAGAATCCATGTTTGCTGAGATCTTGATACCGAAAAATCGATTGACGGTAGAACGCCTGTCTGTCTCTCTGCCTGTGGTCATAGCTAACGCCTAAACCGTGCAGACGGATTTTCTCCAAAATCGATACCCCCGTAGCAATCTGAACGAACTCTAAGCCCTGCGAGTTTGAAAAGAATATTTGAATTTGTTGGGTTCATGTCATGGAGCCTCCACAACATTGTCTAAATTTTCTAAAAACAATAGATCCAATCTTTGGACTAAACTTTGTCCTTGGATAGCATACAGAACCCTTAAAAATGCTCAATTTTATTTTTGGTTAAAAAATCCTGATTTTTCGAACATTACAATAGTTCACAAGTTTTTCGTCGACTCCTTTCAACAACAATATTGAAGTCAGAGATTTTTTCTTGATGAAATATGTTGTTCAAATGTAGGTACTGAAATAAGGTCATGTACATTGTTTCGAAAATATTATTAGTTTTCGGGTAATGTTATGTGATGTAGCACCACTAGTTTTAATGAAGCAGACCGATCATCTTTTCACTAAACACTGTCTCAAAATTAAAGCGGTTCACTTTGTAGGTAATATTTCAGCCTGTGCCATTCTTAATATCCATCATTGCATCTTAGGAGACAATCTTTTGGAATTTTTCCTCCATAAGCACCAAGAAGGTTGGATATGCACTTTCTCCTCGCGGTAACGATCAAGCACGCGCGCGCGTACACGAGACATCCTACCCGCGGCCTCGTCCGCGCCTCGCCCCACCTCGCCACGCCCCGTCCCTTTTCGCTACGCCAGCGCTTTCCTTGGCGCTCCCGCCTGCCTGGTCGTAGGTGGTCCTATCCATCTTTTTTTCACTTCTCGTCGTTTCACCTCTAACGTCTGGTCTGCTCCTTCGTGCCATTTCACCCTCCGTTATGGGCTCACGACTCTCGGACGTTTGAAACGTTGATACCACAATTTCCGTTTTCTCGCTTCTATCATCCCATTTCTTTTCAGTGAACAAAACTTTTTCCCACTATGCTGTCAGCGGTAATACTTACGCTAAAAAATAATAAAGAAAACTTACTACGCTGGTCTCTGTTACAAGAGCAGAAAATAAACCGAGAATTTAGTCAAATTATTTTATTCCTTTACATGTTTCTGTTTTCATTGTGTTACATTTTTTTCACACTAACTTATGCCCTATTCTTTCTTTTGAAAAGTAATTTACTTTTCAATAAAATTATCACATCACCCTTAAAATTATTTATTATTAAAATGTGTTTTAATACGATGTTACGTATTAATAATAAAGGATTTAGAACTACATAACATATTAGGGGAAATAATTTACTTCTTATAGGAACAACTTTTTTGCTGAAGCATTACAATACTTTCTCTTTACTACGTAGGTACGTAGTACGGCAATAAGTAAAAATAAATTATCCATGTTCAACAGGGTATCTAGGTGATTCGTTTCACGCTTTATCAAGGAGAATATTTCTTTACAAATTCCGGGTCGAGAAGTTTTTGCCGTTAGTCTCAACATTTGAGCAGGTAACTGAATCAATTATATAAATAACACTACGAACAATAGCTTCACGAAAAATCATCAATCATCACAGAGAGCTATGGGTAATTTTTACACGGCCCGGGTACTATATAACTAATATGTGGACAGTAGTAATGTTTGTAAGCACTCTGTTTACAAACACAAATATAAAGACACAAAATCACACACGCGCGCCACCTACCTTCATATATTGCACATATGACATCTGCCACTCTTCTGTTTCCTTATCTCTTTCAGTTCAATTGCAATATTGCGATAAATATGTGAATTTTAAATAAATTTGTCTCTCAAACCCTACACGGATATCGTCAAATTGCTAGTTTTACTGGATAGGTGATGTCATTGTAAAACAAAATATGGTGGATGCTCGGCGTCATTGCGTCTTTTCTAGGCAACAAAATTATTTAATAAGATTATTGAGACTTGTCAGTCATTAAACGTAGTTATATTTATTGAATACATTGCTATATTCACTAAAGAATTAATTTTTGGACCAATCAAATAACATCCATGACGAAGCGTATAAAAGTATCCACTATTCAATAATTAGTTCACTGTCGTAAATAAATGTTCATTAGATAAATGTATTTTTGTTTTCTCAGTGTATGTCAATCATTTTGAAATCATTTTGAAAATGAAGTTTCATTGAATAATTGGAGAGGTACGTGAATGAAATAAATAGAAAATAAACAACAAAAATTAAATGTTATTGTAATAATAATTAGAACTGCTTAATCTAAGGGATGCACCGTGCCCTCGGAGGAATCCTTGATCGTGTTGATACGTACATTATTACACGTTGCTCTGTGTCCGCCGGCGCCTGCGCGCCTCTTGAAATTCCCGAAGCTTCGTCCACTCCACTGCCTGGGCAGTCGCCTGCAGCCCCAGTCGCCACTTTCGTCTGCCGGTTCTCCCCCGCTCACCCGCATCGCCGCGGGGCGAGGCGAGTCACCAGCCCACCGACGGAGCCCGCCCGTTCACCACCTCATCATTCCACCAACCAAACCCGCCTGCCCGTCCGCCCGCCGGCTTTCTTGATGGCCAGCCCGCCGCGGGCCCATCGCCTTGCCTGGCTTCACTCCTCGCCGCGCGATTTCGTTGCCCGCGCCTTCGTTTGCATACCTTTCTTCGCGGAAGAGCTCCCACGTGGCACGCCGCCGCCCCCGCCCTTGCCGTTATCTGATTTCGCGTTTCGTTTTGCAGCCGCCGAGGAGTCTGTTCCGTCGTCGCTTCCTTCACGAAAGTGTGGGGTAACGGTTGTGATGAATTGTAAAGGGGAATGTTACCTGTTGTAATCAACGCGTTAAGTGGCGGCAAACACGAGAGCTCGCTTACTAAATTACCTCCGGAAAGAAAGTAATAAACATTGAGCTCGTGTCAGTAAAAGCCCTTCAATACTTGGGTATATTTATTCACCTTTACTTTTCAGTACTTCATAAAACAACTTTTGAATATCTAGGGGGCATAATTATTGCAGATTAGTACATATGACTCACATATTCAATAGAAATGCATTGCTCATAAACAAAGTACAAATCCATGCTATTTCTTATTATGAAATCAATATCTTCATATCCCCTGACACATAGTTTGCATATGATCATATGAGCTATGTGATATGATCATTTATTTCAAGTAATATGTCGTTAAATGGCCATTTTTACGAAGTCAACTTCGACAAAATAATAACGTTATATCTTGACAAATCGGTATTTGGTAAAAGAACAACAAGATATTCAATCAAGAAGAGCATTTAATATAGAGCTCGATGGGCATTGTGTATGGTACTTTGTGTGTGAGTGAGTGTGTGTGTCTGTGTGTGTGTGTGTGCAAAACGTCATAACCTCGACCTCCTCCTAATCTAATCATTGTTTAAAGATGATCTTAATTTTCTCTGCTCATCTAAAATTTCTGTACATAAAATATACAATTGGATTGTTATCCTTCAACACTCCCTCTTATTATATTCTCCATTCGGCAATACTTCGCGTAGCTGCTTCCTGCACCTTTCCTGACGATGGCGCGTGTGAATTCACGCGCAAAAGCCAGGTGGTGAATCGCGTCATATGTGACACGTGAACTTTTACTTTCATCGTTTCAGCGACAGGAGACGAATCATTGATTCGGAACCGGTTCCAACTCGCGCCATCAGTGGAGGGACTTCCCGCTTCTGTCTGCGAAGCGGCGATGGGAAAGCTGTAACATTCGTCAGATGAAATTGTCATATATTAGAGACTGGTGAGCGCGAGCGGTGAAAACGTCTCCTCCAGGCATCTCCCGCCGATCACTCGTTTCAGATGTTTGCTTTATTTGTTGGAGAAGTGCCCAACTGGAATAACAATATTTAATTTATTAGTTACGATTTAGGCTCCTAAAAGACTCAGATCTTCTGTAATAAATATTGGAATTCAACTTCTGGGGCAATAGCCGCAATCTAGATCAGGTTTTTCGGCCAGTTCCTCTGACGCTTTAAGCGAATGCTGACATGGTCCTCTTAATTGCTTCTGAACATAAATGTAACTTCAATATCTGTGGCAATGTAGTTATTTCAATTAACGTTCTCCAGATTTTGTGCCAATAAGTAAGTCGATTCCTTCACGAAAAGCATGATAGAGATAATAGCCAAAATCTGTAGCTAATTAGCCATCGCAAACATTTTTATTACACGGGCTAATATTTTCTTCTCAATTCACAAAATTATTTTCTGCAACACTCATAGGTTCACAAAAAATTTATTGTTACAATAATAAACAAAGGTTTTTTAATAATCTTCGTCCTTTCACTCACATTTTTCTGCAAAGAGCATGATCTCACAGTGGATCAATAATTAGTGGCAATGTATTTCAACGTGGATCATCAGATACGGTTACACTTCACGAATGAATATGCATATTTTCATGTATGGCCTTTCAGGATCACCCTTGATAAATAAGTTAAGATTTTAAACCTTCAATCAACTTTCTTTTAAGACTGATTTTTCGTCTATTAGCGAGGAGTGTCAAAATCATTTCAGGAGCACGCGAGATAAATAATGATGTACGAGAAATTTCAAAACGCGCCATGCCCTTCTTCCGTCAGCGTCCTGTATTATCTATTTTATCCGGGTTACCCACATTTCGAGGTGACGGATCTATCGATTTTCTGAACTGTTCGCCCCCACTGCCCGTTGTTTTTACTATGCAGAAGACATGGAGTGTCCTTTTATGATGGAAATGAGTTTAAAAGTAATCACAAATTTTAATCATTGTACCAAATATTACGTTATTTTGTAGGATGTTGAGACTAGTACATTGTAGTATTCACTAGTTCAAGATGTTGCGATGTCAATGCTCTCTTAAGTGGAATAATATGATTTAAAAAAATAACGTTGTGAGAATGATTACACAAGAAGTATATAATTCATGATAATTACTTAAATTTGTGAAACAATAAATAATACAACTACATAATCTGATTTCAACTACAACATCGCAATGTATTTACTGACTTGTAGTGGTCGGTCGCTTGTATTTACTAGGCTCTCCGTGTGACGCCGCGTCCATGGCGAGGGTGCCGACGTTTCGGTCGCCATTCTGCGACCTTCCTCAGGGCGTAATACTCCTTCCTCAGGGCGTAAACGTCGGCACCTTCGCCATGGACGCGGCGTCACCCGGACAGCCTAGTAAATACTGACTCCGGCCGCGGAAGCCTACGCTCTCGTCATTCGCTTGGTAATCCACATACTATATCGCATCCACTTCTGATCCGAAATAACAATAACTTGGTGAACAAAGTTAATTTGAGCCGGTCCAGATGCCCGAGATCGTTAAGTAGTTCCGTAGCGATCTCGGACCAAAGGATCGCGGGTTTGAGTCCCGCCTCGGACCGGGTTGTATTTGTGTTCGGTCATTCACCCACCTATCATCACCATATCACGTCATCTTTACAGCTACCATAGCATTAATTGCAGTAGTGGTCGCTAATGGCCTAGTAGACGTTGAAGCGACCTAAAATTTAAACAAAAATCATTTGAAATTTTCACAAAACGCTCTCCATCAAATATATCCATCAAACAGATCTTTTCCATCAATTATTAAAACTCCCTTCCAGATTTTCAGTCGGAGGTAGGCCACCATCTCATGCGGACAAACGCTTGTCTTGGAGCGTCTTGATTTTCTCACAAGTCCCGAAAATGGGTCTTCTTCCGCACTTTTTGCCCTTCAACTCGGCAGAAACAAAGCAGAGCGGTCGGTGCGCGCATCGCGATCAGAGGTATTGTGGAGCGCCTGGCGCGGCGCGGCGTCGGAGAACAATGCTGCATCCGTCTTCTTCAGCAAATAATAATAAAGCGGCGGCGGCGGCGACGGCAGCGACGGCGGCGCCGCGACCGGCATGGGGGCCGCCGGAGGGGCGCGCGGCACGGGAGAACAGCACGAGCTGCAGCCGCTTTCTCCGTCACTTTGCGCAGTTTCAAATGTCGCGAGAGCACCGTCGCGGGGGAGGGGAGCTGGATTCGTGACGCAGCCTTGCCCCCACCACCGCCACCGTCACCACTCCCAATGCCGCCCAAACGCCCCCGTTCCTCCGCCGCCCAATCGTCTACCCCGATGGCATATTCAATACCATCGTTGTCGGCGTCGTGCCCCCAACGTCGTTTTCCCAACGTCGTTTTCCCAACGTCGTTTTCCAACGTCGTTTTCCCAACGTCGTTCTCTCAACGACGTTCTCTCAACGACGTTTTCTCAACGACGTTCTCTCAACGACGTTCTCTCAACGACGTTCTCTCAACGACGTTCTCTCAACGACGTTCTCCCAACGCCGTTCTCCCAACGCCGTTCTCCCAACGTCGTTCTCCCAACGTCGTTCTGCTAACGTCAATCTCCCAACGTCAATCTTCCAACGTCAATCTCCCAACGTCGTTCTCCCAATGCCGGTCCCACAGTGACAGCCACATAACTACGTGACCACTACACCAAGGGTCGGAGCCATAATTAACATGTCTACCAATATTAATCGTAAGAACTGTAATCGTAATTCCCGCACTTGTACGGTTGTCACCATTACCATTTTTACCAATATTACCTCTGCCTTCGTGTCCAGCAGGTAGAGTACTGCTCTCTTCCCAAATCGAATGTCTAGTTTCAAGAATCTGCATGAGTAACCTTTGGGATCTTCAAGTAATGACATGTAGAACTTACGTAATTAAATTGAATATGAAAATAAACCTCAACCCTTTGCAATTATTGAAATATTTTTACAGAGTTATGAACTAACATAAGTGTAAAAATGTCTGGGAGTCTCTATCCAAGACAATCCCCAGCGTGTGCTTGCTTATTAGTCAGCATATGCATTAATTCACTCTTCTCAGTATATTGCCATCACCTTCCATCTCCAGTTGCCAGAAAAAGACAGCATCACTTCGTCACCGCAGTTTGAATTATTTCATTCAACTGCACACCATATTCTCATAATTTTGCCATCTTCACCGATGTTTTAGCATCCTCTACCACGCTGCATGTTTCAATACAATAGTTGCAGTCATTACTCTTCATTTACCATTTCCAGGTGGTTCAATACCGATTTCATCACCATTACTTCCATCACCATCGCTCTCACATTTATCACCTCCTCTTCGCAGTCATCTCCGCGTTGATTTGCACTGGCGTGAGGCGCTACTCTTCAATTACACGTCTCGAACTAATCATTCGTCGCACGCATGCACTCTCCCTGCGCGAATGTTGCACAAACGTCATATTTTGTTTTCTCTTTCTTCTCCTTTCACTTCTAATCTAGTGTGCTTGAAATGTGGTAAAATCCGTGGCGGCGATTGTATCAGAAATTTCTGATTGTTCGTGTATTGTTTTTATCGGATTATTCGATTGTTCGCATGTAAACAGTTCGTTCTCAGGCGTTCTTATCGATTTCATGTAATTCTAAAATAAAGATTAGATAATAAAAAATAGATATGTTTCTTCTAAGAAGTTCCTTTATAAGGTTGACTTAAATAATGTTCATCATCAACTTAATAGGCCAATTCAATGTTGGATTGAAACTATGAAATATCTATGCTTTAACGATGTACAGCAAAATCAAATGTATTTTTCCTCAGTCATCGCCCGACGTTGGAGCTAAATAATTTAACTAACGTTTATAACTGCAAATACAGATCTTTGTAGCTTCGAGAAATCCTACGAGTAAGAGTAAACCCATTATTTAATCTGAATTTATGAACATTTAAATACTTTTACGTTGACCAAATATGAACTGTAACGTTGAATCAGAAAGAGGGTTACAAAGTATAACAATAGAAGAAGCATGTCGTGACATTAGCATGATGAGAACTGCCTCCGCGAGACTTGAGAGGCTAACTCAAGGAAAATCCCAGTGCCTGTGGGTTAGCTTCGCGATGCTACTAACCCGAATGCGATGCGGGAAAAAGTAGATGCTCGCTCGACGTTTCTAATGTACTACCCATGGATTTGGAAAACAAGTTCGTCATATTTTCACGTATAATATTACGACATTTATTCACTTAATACCATTGTTAAAAGAACAATATGCTCCATTTTATTTTTAGTCAAACTGTTTATAAATTGCTTAAAAAATTTAATTTAATGATCTCATTAATTAAAAATGTTTAAAACAAATCTTCAGGCATTTTGGGCTTTATTATAATTCAATAAACCTATCCACGTCAAATTAAAATTAAATTACATTTATAATACACTGGTGCGCTGTAAAATATTTAAATAAATACAAGTGTTTGAGTATTAATTCTCAGATCATAACTAGTGCATTTCATCACAAATTATTATTACTACAGTTTATTGGTATTATTACATTTTTATTATAACAGCTATTATTATTATTATTATTATTATTATTATTATTATTATTATTATTATTATTATTATTATTATTTTGATATTCTTAGTTTTTTTTTTGTAAACCACTGCTACCGAGTTTTACACAGCTGCTGTTGGACATATAAATCTTATGTTATATCTTGGGAATACCGCGAGAGGAATGGAACGTATCTCCACTCACTTCCGGGGCAGGCCCTGGCCGTGACCGTGTACACAAAGCGATAAAGTCAAGGGCGCACCCAATCGGCCTTGTCCTCCCGCCCTCTCCGCTTCCCACGTCGCGGTCATTCGGTCACGGCTGCATCCGGCCGCGCTATCACCAAGCGGAAAGCGCGTGGACGAAGCCGCCTATCGTGGTCGCGTCTCGGAGAGTGCCTAAGTGGTGCGGGTGCAGAATGTGCCTCCAGGACGAAGGGGAGATGCGTTTGCCACGTCCGGGTCGCTCAGGCACGCGCGTGCTCTCTGAGCCCCGCCTTCGCCCGCTCGGTAGTTTGCCGACAGATTACGTGCTTCCTGGAATCTGAAACCCTCGCGGAAGCACCTGCGAAGCCGCCAAGTGGAAGAGGCGATTCCGTATTGTAGGACTGTCGCTGAAAGATTGTTGAATTTCTTGATGTATGCAAGAACAACTTCTACTATGATCATTAGACCCGGTTGTGTGGTGAATGCTTTATCTCTGGAGAAAGCCGTCTCCACTCGATAGTGAGATCCGGCACCGACCTATACTTCGAGTTGCGAGGGAAATCCTTCTCCAGGTATCACACAAGCGGGCCACCGTCCGCGGATCTGTTTTTGTTTGTTTTCCGGTCACCTCAATATTCCTTTCTGTTACACTAATTTTATTATCTGATCATTTGTAATTCTCTGTTCTTTTTCTTTGCGTTCTTATCAACGAATCACAGATAATCACTCAGGTATTTTATCGTGTATCTCTGGAAGTTGTTAGTAGAGCAAGTTGTGAATCATGATGCGGCCTCATAACATCATTTTTCTTCGTAAATTTCTCTTGCACAATTTGCATTCTCACGTTTCCTAGCCCACAATGCGGTTTCGTCAAAAAACTACTGTTTAACATCTTGTACATTGTCAGTTACAGAATGGCCTCCGAAAACATGACGTATTCTTTGAATGTACAACTACGATTGAGAACCATTGCAACGCAACATAACGAGTGTTAGAATATAGAATGAATGTGGGAACAAACACCGCAATGCAACGGTTTGCAGCAAGATCGTGAATATGAACTGACGTAGAATGACGTGAAATGTTAAATAGGCATCAACTTCACAATTTGAGACAAGTTATGTGTAATAATATGTTATTATTAAGTTATGTGCAAACAAATTAATTTAACAATACTCCCACACTTCATCAGGAATTGGTGTTTCAGTAAACTAGCAATATATGATATTCAACTAGAGTTTGAGAAAAATATTACGTGTATTTACAATACCTATTGATGAAATTAAATTTACATTTTGTTATTTATTACCAGAGCGGATTTCTATGCAAATATATTTGCTAAATAAGCTTTTATCGATACTAATTTGCATTACCTTTATGCTCCACAATGTGTGGAGTTGTAAAATGCTACTTTTATTTTTCATATTTTTCCGTATTTTTATATGTGAAGAATAGATCCACTCTCCATTTCTGGAGTCCTGTTTGAGGGGCTTGAGTGTCTCGCGGGCGAAGGGGGCCGCGAGCAGGCGATGAACTATTGTATTTCTTTGACAGATGACTTTGAAACCTCGATGGTCTGTTGGAAACTCATCTCGTTTTGGAATCCACACTACCCACTCTCCTTCCCTCTAAAGCTGCCACCCGGAAATCGCATGTCACAACGACTGGGATATCAGAATTCCAACTATCAGCTCTTCATTTTCAGTTACAATCCAGTCAGAGTAGTATTGTTGGTTCAGTTCTATTGCTCTGAATTAAGCCCATGTAAAATGCCATAAGTAGCACAATCAGTCAATTAGAAGTTACATTTCAGAATTTAAAGATGAATGTTTATCAACTGACAATAAATATATTATTTTACCATTCCCATTTTTTATCATATTAAATTCATATTTAACTCCATATTTTGATAAAAATAACTACATATATATTGACATATTTCATATATTTTAGTCCGTATAAATCCGTTCCCTCTTTATTACTATATTTACTTTTTATAATCGAATATATATCCACATCATTCATTTTAATGTTAATACATTTATACAGCAACTCTGTCAAGTAGTTAATATTATTCAAGAAACGAGTGTTAAGTAACACGGGTATTTTCAGATATCCAGATCTTTCGTAGATTAATCTTTCGATGTTTGGATTCAATCTCGGTTATGGGTTTCTCCGACAGACCACTTGTGTTTACTCTGGTTTTATCTTTTAAGGCATCTCATGTTGAAGCTGGAATAACGTATTATACGGCAGTGATGCTGCCTTCGGGTAGAGGAAGAAAAAGTGAAAGCGAAAGCTCAAACACAGGAGCGGATTTCTACTGGAGAGGGAGATTAAATGCA